AGAAATCTCACATCTTCTCTGGAGTTTCAGAAAAGATCTTCAGATTTGCCAAGAAATCAAAGTATGAACTCAGTCTCAATATAAACTCAAACATTTCTCATTAAATGCTCTGATCAGCTATTCACATTCATTTTATAGCTCTTTACTCTTACTGTATTTTAGAAATTCTCACATTTGTGTCTGTTTTGATTTCTCCTATATGTGATATTCTGATAGACAGCAATGAGATTAATTGAGAGCAATGGAGATGCTCCTCATATGTGAAAAAAAAAACCCTTAGAAATCTCACATCTTCTTTAGAGTTTCAGAAGGGATCTAAACTAAGGTCTCAAATTGTGATCAGATTTGCCAAAAATTGAAGTAAACATTTTTAAAAAATGACTTTTTTAAAGTTATAAATAAAACAAAGATGTTTGGAGTACATTTTACAAGAAAATACTCCAGTTTAATATCAGTTTTCTAATTCAAGTTTTCTTGTTTAATTCAGTGTTTTACTTGCTGTTTTTTGTGACTGTTTGTGAACTTTACTAGCAATTTCAGAGTGAATATTGTTTCTAAACCATTTTTTTTTCAGCAGTTGTCTCATTTATGCCTGTTTTGATTATTCTATAGGATTTTTAAGACGTTTCTGATAGACAGCACTGAGATTAGTTGAGCGCAATGGAGATGCTCCTCAGATGTTTTCATCTTCAGAGTTTCAGAAGAGATCTCTACTACAGTTTTTCTCAGTCGCTTTGGTGCATTTCTCAGATCAGAAATGAAATTCCCAAAACTACTTGTTCAACCTCCACATCATCTAATCAATTGTGCACATCATGAAAGCAGTTTTTCATTCTTTTGAACAAGTTGCGATTACTTTGGTACATTCATGCAATTGATTATGTACATTTATCTGCGGTTTCCTACACTATCAGTTGCTAATGTCATGTTGCTCAAAATGTATTATATAGTTCTCTGTGCAACAGTTTTACCCCCAAAACATCTAGGCATTAGTTCATCGTATAAGTCATTAAATGAAAAATGGTTGATCTAGTTGTCAAAAACTGTCACGCATATTTTCTACACATTTCTATTAGACTTCTTGTAAATTTGCCATGAATTGTGCATCTTGACGTTCACTAATAAAGAGAATAAGGATCAGCTAATGATAAACCAGTTCTCTGAAATTGCTCAAAGGTGCATCTCATGAAACTTTCCTTGGAAAGCATACATAGAGGGAGAACAACACAAGAGTTACAAATTCTGACAATGGATATTTCCTCCCCATTGGCCTGGCAAATCAACAGTAGCTCTGTGGTCGATGACATTCCAAACCATGCCTTCTGCTTTTCATCAGGTTGAAGCCAGCCTCATCCACATACATGAAGTTGTGAGATGGTTCACTTGACTCCAATTCCACGTTGCATTGCAAGGGAAGATATTCGTTATGATATAGATGAGAATCTGTGGACCGACAGACTGGCATGTCAGGAGGTGTAGACAGACTGCATTGCAGTTCCTCAAAGAGTGCTGCAGGCAAAAGCAAAGTTCTTCCTAAAGGGGTTTTTCCTGTGTTTGCCTTTCACATTTTTTTTTTCGCCTTTGTGCCCATATTGCCCATATTGCATTGCAAGGGAAGATATTCATTGTGATGTAGATGAGAATCTGTGGACCGACAGACTGGCATGTCAGGAGGTGTAGACAGACTGCATTGCAGTTCCTCAAAGAGTGCTGCAGGCAAAAGCAAAGTTCTTCCTAAAGGGGTTTTTCCTGTGTTTGCCTTTCACATTTTTTTTTTCGCCTTTGTGCCCATATTGCCCATATCACAATGACGTAATGTTTTTTTTTTTTTTGTCAGACCACTAGTAAAGTGTAACTGTGAATCCTGTCCAGTCTCTTTCAATCAATATCCCACATACAGTAATGTGTAAATTTGTACTTTTGAAATGGATATATGGCATACATAAGAAGTGCAGCCTTCTGCATTTCAATACAGTAACTGTCATCCAAACTGTTGCCATAGTTTACATCAGGTAATACTAACAAAGTGCACTGTTATATTGACAACATGACTAAGCATTTTGTCTATCTTGTTTGTGAACAATTACACAAGGACTTTTCATTCTGATGGCACTGATATGTGCATTGACATAAATACTTACTTTTGAGAGATGAACTAAAGATTTTGAGTAAGTTACAGACTTTTGCAGGTAATCCATAGTGTGTTGCTGTTTGTACAAATTGTTCTGAGAAATGCACATACTTCTTTGCAAATATTAAGGATGATTCGAGAAATGCACCAAAGCGACTGAGAAAAACTGTAAGATCTAAAATTGAGCATATCAACAATGATTTTTCAAAGTTGTAAATAGAGTTCTTTATTTCAAATGTTAATTCAGTGTATTGCTGGCTGTTTATTTGTAATTGTTTGTGAAATTGACTAAAAACGGTTTCTACACTACTTTTTTTGGTTTATGAACTCTCAATAGGAACTCAAACATTTCTCATTAAATATGAGCTGCTATTCACATTCATTTTATAGCTCTATACTCTCACTGTATTTCTATTTCTGTCTATGTTGATTTCTTCTATGAAGAAACATCTGAGACAAAGCTGATACATCAATGAAGCATATCAGAACTTTTCCTTTGTGTCGTATCACTTGACATTCTGTACAAATGCATCACATGTAAATATGCTCACTGACAATTACAAATCTGCTGGTGACTAACAGATATCCAATGCTTTGCTTTCAAGGACTTCCTGCTGATTTCAAAGGTTGGTTTATGTCCACACTGAGATCATTAATAAGCTGCAAATGTTTGATAAACTATCATAAAGCTATACTCATACAGCGTGAACAGATAGCCGTCTTTGGTTTATCAAAGGACAAGTGAGCTACAGTAGAAGATTCATGAGTGTTGATGTGGATGCAGCTCAATATTTGCATTTTGGAATATTTTATTGGTTAACACTCAATCACTTTCACAACAATGACAGTTCAAGAACAGAAGAGTCAATGAGGAGCAACACACACCCACCATCGCACAATTAAACCAGCGGAGAACATTCTGCCTTTCTCTGAGTCTTAATTTAATTTCTTCACCTGTACTTGCATCTGCTCTTGTGTAAAGTGCATATTTTTCTTCAGACGAACATGAAATTGAGTAGGAGACACTCAAAACTCAGTCAACATCATTTTGTTTGCTCAGAGAGAGTGATTTTTCATCAGCAAACTTTTCTCCATTTGTTTGTAAACCAAGTCATCTTTCTCCTCAAGATATACATGCTGCAAAATGATAGCCTACTATTCTTCTGAAAACATCACTATAGGATAGCATCATATTTAATTTCTGACAGGAATGAAAACCGTGCATTCACAATACACAAAATGTCTTTCTGAAAAAAATCAGCAGACAAAAACTCCATAATACACTTTGGACAACTATGTGATCTAGGACCTTTATACAGTGTGTATCATTCAGTCCCAAGTAGTATTGAAATAGTACACTTAAAAGTATACTAGCCTACTAGTACACAGATATTAGCATACTTACTACAAGTATACTTAAAAATATTCTTGAACTTTACTTATGTATACTTTATATATATATATATATACATACACATTTGTAAGGATAACGTCTACAGAAACTACATAAGTAACTAGTTTACCATGCTGATACCAAGTCTACTAGGTTACACATCTAAAACCACACCACAAGAAAGTATACAGTACATAATTATTGCACAAGATCTATAAAAAATGGTAAGTAATTGCAGAATAAGACAAATGTCATTGCATTAGTTAACATATCAAAATAAATATATAATGTATACATTTTTGCTTTTTTGGGGGATTTTTATTAGATGTAAACCCAAACTTTTTTTTATGAAAGTGTTATTTGAAAACTAATCCAATAGCCACTGAATGCATATTTCATTGCTATTTATTTTCCCAGTAGTGCTTTTTGATTTCTCTTATATTTTTTATAACTTCAGCTCATTGAGTATGATTAGCCTTACAGTTGCATGTGTCTTTCTCATCTGTGAATGTTCGTTCTAGCTGGTCCTCATCATTCGGCTCTTAAAGGGTTAACTGCTGCGGTAAACCGCTGCGCGCTGCCGTGCGAGCGTCCCATTGGCTGCGCGGCGGCAGCCCGCGCCGTTAATCAGCTGCAAGAGCGGCTGAGTTCATCTTCTCGCACGCACTACAGGGATGGCATTGCCACACACAGCAGGGCAACACAACACAACACATCAGGAGCATGCACACAGCAAACATCCCATCAGCTTTAGACCTTGACCCTGGCAGCAGCACTGACAGCACCTGACCTCTGCAGCATCAGCACCAGAAGAAGAAGCTGATCGTTCCTTCTCTCAGAAACTGAAAGCAGTAGCACATCATCATCACAACAGTAGGAGGCGAGCAGATCACATCATGCACTGGACTTTCCTCGCGTACATACTTAGATCTGTTTCCTAAACCACACTGGGAGTGGACAGCTGTCTCTGATCTTAATCAGCAGAGCTTTTTCAGGACTGATAAAAAGTTCTGCGCTCGTTTATTTATACGCACACATTCCTTTACACTAGAAGGAAAGGGTCGCATGTGCGTTTTATTTTCTATTGTGGCTATTTAAAGCCTGTAGCTGTATATTCAAAACTAAAATGCATATTATTTACGCGTTGTAAACTTAAAATAACGTTAGGATACTTTGATTTAAGATTTTAGGAGTTAGTGCGTCACTTTTTAAGTTTCTTAAACTGACAGTTATTAGTCAAACTTGGCTCACAAGCAGTCGCATAGAAAGTCAGAGCATTGATATATTGGAGGATATGGTTAAACAATACGCTTTCGAGGAAGTTTACCTTTAAAAACATAAGCTCGGGTTCGTCGGGAAAGCTTGGAGCTCTAGAAACGTTGCCGCGTAAAAGCGCACAGGACGCGCAAAGAGGCGGCAGTCTGCGAGCACCATCACCAACCCTCTAGAAGCAGCAGTTCTCTCCTCTGAAAGCAGAAAACAAGACGTAGAATGGCCGATGAGCTTGTTTCCATCACTAATGGGATTGTGCTGCTGTGATTTGTCGGACCGGAGGGAAGGTTGATCCACACACGCTCGGTTGGTGCAGCATCGCGGTGCGCGCTCGGGGATGATCAGGATCTTCCCGGATTTCAGTGTTCAGGTGACGGCGGCGGCGGCTGCAGGTGCGGGAGCCGGTGGAGGGATGCCGGCTGCGTCCAGAGTCCCGGTAGCTAACGGGAACCCGCAAAACGTCCAAGGCTTGACGTCTTACCAACAAAGGTACGCTGACTAAACGCAAAACATGTTTGTTTTTTCTCGTTTAGGTGACATCCATACTATTCATGTCATATTTGTTGCGTCCATTCACATTCACCGTTAACAGGTTTATATATAAAGTAATATTGGATTTCCCTGGAGGTTGCTGAAAGTGTAAACTTAGATTCCTAACATCTCAGTTTCACTGAGATCCGGGGGTTGCTTCATTTATTAGACACAAAGCACCACACGATATAAAGCAAGCCGTTTATTGAAGCTGTAAAGTTTTACTATGTGTCAAATTCCACAACACATACACACACATGTAAAGAAAAGTCATATTATGATTTATAGCCAATATAAATGTTTTGCATTCAAATTTTCATACAAATAAGCATCTTAAATATTCAAAGCAACTGTGATCATTTCAAAACTGGCATTGCCAACTATTTCAATGCACAGAAAAACTCTCTTCAGAACAAATTATCTGAAATTATTCATTTAAAATGACAACTGCATGCAAAAATCAATGCATAATTCTTATTTTCATCCTAGAACAATAGTTGTTAATAGATTAAACAAGATATTAAAAAAAAAATCAATCTCCAAAGCCACGAAAACGCCACTAAATCACATGGTGTGATTTAGATTCATACAAATAGACATTAAGTCTTTGTAAAGTCTGTAAAATTGCTAAACAGACTATTTTTTCACATAAATTCACACAGTAATTTTCATCATCTACTAGGCGTAGACTGGCGTTAATGGATGTGAATGTTCTGATGTTAGTATATCAGCAGAATCAAGTGCACACATGCTTACATATACTGTCACGTTCAATTAAACAGTCTGTTTAGAGCACAACACAATGAACAGGACATTAAATGGGGTGGCTGTCAGCCCATGACCTTGACAGGTCACAGGTTCTAATGCACATCACAAAACAGGCCTTTATTTATGTCAAGACGGATTCGTTTAGAAAAATATAAATAATGTATTGAATGTGCATTAGTGCAAAAAAAAAAAAAAACTTGAACTGTGCACGTTTTTCTGATGCATTTATCTTTAAATCTAACACATGGACATTGCATAAGAGATAGCCTATTTCTTTTATATCTTTAATTAATTCACTCGTAGTGCTTGGTTCAAAATAATTTAGTCTTAGATTTAAAAAACATAAATTTGGCATGTGAGTTGATTTTGACAGCTGTCAATCATATCATTCGACACGTTACAGAAAATACGAAAGCAAACATCAGCGTGCAAACGTTCAAAAGGTGTCATGAAGCGATTTCTCCAATCCTTTCGTTGATGCATCACAAACAACCTGTATATATTCCCCATAAACTCAAAACTATTTCCAACTACAACTGAGTGGCGTTGTTGCGCCGGCAGGAGAGGGAGATGAGAGGGAGAGAGAGGCAGGAAAAAGGCTGAAAAATGCGGACAAACATACTGGGAAGAAGCGGCTGTGTTCGAGGGGCACATCGTGATGTAAAAGCCCCTCTCGTGCACTGATTCCTGCCTTCGCTTCCCCCGCGAGGACAGCCGCCGGATCGCACGAGCGTCCCCGGGTTTCCTCTCACTTTATTGGCATGCCTTTGGATCTCAGCGTCGGCTGGTCTCGCTCCGTCTGAACGCGTCTTAACGCACGGAGACACGGGCGCTCCGGTATCACCGATGGCGGTGCTTCAATGCCCCCGGTTCCGCTGTCAGCTGCTCGCCGCGTGAAATCCGGAGGAAAAAAAGTGTAATTAATAATTGCAGGAAGATGGCGCCCACCAAGCCCAGCATTCAGCAAGACCCTTCCAGAAGAGAACGGTAAACGCTAGGTTTGTTGTGTGTCTGTGGAAACGCGTGCGCTGACGGGCATTTTGGACTGAGACGTGAAACTTTGCCCTTTCCGCAGGAGTGTGTGTGAGGGGTTGGGTAACAGGTATACACGCTGACAGAAGCCGCGAGTGTGTGTGTTTTTGCTGTGCGTGTGCCTGAGAGAGTGTGTGTGTGTGTGTGTGTGTGTGTGTGTGTGTGTGAGTATTTGTGTGAGTGTGTGAGTAAGAGTGTGTGAGTATTTGTGTGTGTATGTGTGTGTGTGTGTGAGTATAGGTGTGTATGTGTGTGTATGTGTATAAGTGTGAGTATTTGTGTATGAGCGTGAGCATAAGTGTGAGTATTTGTGTGTGTGTGTGTGTATGAGTGTGAGTATAAGTGTGAGTATTTGTGTGTGTGTGTGTGTGTGTGTGTGTGTGTGTGTGTGTGTGTGTGTGTGTGTTTTGGTGGACAGAGGACATGACCGTTGAATGTGTTCAGCGTGTGTCGAGCTGCTGGCAGGTTTCGCGGGAAATTTGTGAACGTTCGAACGCGACCATGTTGCAGCGTTGTATTCGCTCGCCGTTTGTTTTCGCACACTTGTTTACTGCTGTGAAATAATGGGCGACAGGATGCCGTGTGACGAAGTTTCAGCATAGGTTGATGTGGATTTGAGTCCTCTGTTGGATCAGAAACTCTTAATGGGATTGTAATTTGAGCAGTAAATAAATCTGCACTTTGGAAATGACAGCAGTTGATCACAAGACTAGTTATATACAGTAGTCAGGTGTATGTTATAGGATGTTGCTGAGTAGCTGAAATGCTTTTCACTTGGATTAGTGTTTAACACATAGGCTACATACATTACAGGTGCATGATTGCAATCACTAGTTTATATTTGTAGATATTTTATATAGTAGGGTTGCATGCTAAAAAATAGATTTTTTTGTTGTTGTGCTGCTTATTGAGTAGGCTATATTTCCTGGTGCCTTTTACGCTTGATGACAGGTGGTGGACTAAATTAATTTGTCAGATCAATAGATCTGAAATTGTGATACAAGACTATTTTAATGTGTATATAAAGCAGATGTTTGAGAAATGCTTGAGGATGAAGAAAACATGACACTAAATTCATCTAGTTATGAAATTGCTGTCATTTTGTGTGAATATTACTTGTTCATCAGCCTTTTTACACTTAGATGACAGGTGGTGGTGCACTAAATCTTGCAATTATGAAATTATTTGATCTCTAGATCTGAAATTGTGATAAGACTATAAAGCATCAAGTGGCTGTTTGAGGACTGTGAAATGTATTTATTAGAAAATGTAGATGGATTTAATGTGCATATTTCTTTCATGTTTTGTTGATCTGAAATTTTAATATGACTTTGTTGTATTGCTATTTTGCTTGAGTATTGCATAGTCTTCAGATGACAGGTGTTGCGCTGAATTAATCTGAAGTAATGAATTACTAATGATCTGAAATTGCAACAAGCCTGTATCTTATTTACACTAGTCAGGTATGTGTTGTTATCTTTATCATCAAAACTTTTTATTGCAAATTCATCCATTTTTTGTGTTTAGATGACAAGATTATGTTTAGAATATCACTGGTCCTTTTTACATAAACTCATGCGAACAATAGGCATTTTAGGTATTTTTTTCTCCTTAGCTTTCAGGAGTATTAAATTAGGCAGCACTGATTCACGCCGCACTGTGTGCGCCGTACAGCTTGTTGAACTAATGTTAAATGATATGCAATAATTCACCTGCAGTGTGTGTACAAAATATCAGCCGTAGAGCCAGTGACATTTTACAATGTAAACACGGCCCGATTCATATACTGTAGCAACTCCACAAGATTGTGTGCCTGACCGGACTGTGAATGGTTATCATTAGCAAGCTTGACAAAACTCTCATCGAGCTCGATTATTTTATAATTCTCTATCGGAACACGCAGATTACACTAATGCACCTACGTCTAAATAGGCCACGACATTAGAATTATATTCCACCCCCTGCCAGTCATAACAGCAGGAGATGTTTATGCTAAGTCAGTCTGCAGTAATCTTTCTGGCGGGAGCGTATTTGTGTGCCATTCCGAGCATATCGCAGAGATAGGAATCTTGAAGATGGAATTAATTTTGAGGGGGTGGGGGGGACTTCATAGCCAGTGCATGAGTGCTTCCTTTATCACCTGTTTCCGACCGGCATTCTGAAGGGCTAAATTGCACTCTGTGATTCGTTATGTGGCTCCACTTGAGAGTTGAACCGAATAACACCGGGGCTGAAATTCTCAAGGAAGGTTTGGGAGTTTATTTTTTAATGCAGTGCTGGTTACTAGCGCTGTAGCGAGTGTTGGGAAGGGAGGGATTGTGGTCTTGGGCGAAGCAACTCTGAAGGAGTTGGACGCGAATTCACACAGAGAGAGAGAGAGAGAGAGAGAGAGAGAGAGAGAGAGAGAGATTGGTTGGCGTGAATTTATACACAACACTAAAC